ATGATCAAAGAGCATTTCCTTTGCATGCCAAAGTGCTGCGTCTGTCTTCGCACGCTTGGTTAGAAATCAAGAATCGATGCCACATAGATGATCTTGAAGTATAGTGGGCCGATCACCCTGTTCCGTCATCTCAACGTCCTAGGCTTCTTAAATTTTCCGTAAGGGGGGGGGTCGTTCTGCGCTCTGGAGTGTTAGTTAGGCCGCCAGAAAGGTATGGGACGCAGCCAGCCGTACTCCTACTCCTAGGCAGGTCATTATGGATGCCAGAGGTCCGTGTTTCAACGGAGCCTCTCACAAAGATCAATGGGTGCAATGCAAGCGAGTGCTGACTTTGTTTTCACTCAGTGCTGAGATGTACTACTTTGTCAACGGGGCAATCGAAATCGATACTATGCCGTTCCTCCTCATGGTCAAATAGATCCCATAATGCAACGCGCGCAGTTTCACGTGCAGGGAGCTTTGGAAGTAGTCTATGGGATCCCCGAACAGATGTCAAATGGGCTAGTTTTATTTGAGATAACCAATTGGAAAAATGCTATCCAATTGGACTCATTATACTCCGTTTCGCAATAACTTGGAAAACTGTGGAGGCTACGGCCTGTGTGACCCAATAAGAGCGTCAGAGCGAGGCACGTGACAACATGTCACGTGTGCGTCACTGCGCCAAGGAACCGGCTGTCGTCTGCTGGCCAAGAGTGGTCTGCTGCGAAACGAACCAACTTCGCATTGATGTCCACCGCCGCAACATTGCCGTGTGCTAAGAGTAGCGAGCTTTTCGGGAAGATTTCATGAGACAACCATACGCTCAATTTCCCGTAAATCTGTTGCGGATGCTATACTGCCGAGGCAATGTTTTGAGCGAAGCGGTCAATTGCACGGCTGCGATTGCCAACAGCAACGGCCCTACAAGGAGAAAAAAAAAATTAGGAGCGGATACGAATGTGGAGTCACTTTTCTGGACTAAATATTATTGCAACATAAATTCATCAATATTTATTTCTTATTTTTAATATATTCTCAATAAAGACGGAATTGCGCGAGTTCAGCTGCCGTTAAAAGAGAAAGAAACCTAGAACTACTTTTTGTTGCTATGGTGGTAACGAGGTTTTCCGTGGCTTAAACATGAAGTGTTATCAGGTGACTTGCTCCTACACTCTTATTGGGTCGCGGCGGCTGCAGCCTCCACAGTTCGCCAGGTTATCGTGAGACGAAGTATAGTTGGTCACCAGATCCCTATTGAAAACTACTATTCCAATTGGGATGACCAGTTGGAAAAATGCATCCCTATAGACCCTTTTCAAAGGTCCGCACCAATGCCTGTCTGCCATTGCTTGATCACATACTTTGTGCACGTATTGGACACGAGGGCTGCGTCAACGTTCGGTGAGGACTCGTATCCAATCACGTGCTCTGGTCCAAGGATGGATGAATGGATGGATGCTAACAACTGTACCCTTTGAATCGGGCGGTAGCTTGTGCCACCTAGCCTAGAAATCAAGAACCAAAATTAGGATTTCTTTGCCAATTCGTTTATCCTCTGCAATTTTGTAACATTGGGAGTCACTAGTGCAGTGATGTGATTGCTGCGCCAATTGCGCCAAACTGCGCCAAGGGGCTAACCCTGCTACATCCTGCTACATTTTGCCAAAATGTAGGTAATCTGCGCCAAGCCTGCGCCAAAGGAGCAATTTCGGTCGCCTTTCAAAACCGAAACTAAACTGAGAACCGTAATTGTGCATGCGTCAGCTACGTGGCGCAAGCGGCCGCCCGACACGAGTTCCTGTATAGGCTCCCTACGGGAGCCAGAGTTGCGCGTTCATCCCCGTAGCGCCATCTTTCCTGCATGGCATGTTGATCCAGCATTTACGTGACTGAATTCGGCAAATAGCAGCGCCGCGCGTTCGAGGCGCGCGGCACTTTAAAAGCAGGGGAACGTTCGGCGGGGTGCGTGCAACGTCTACTTTCCTGCACGGCACTTGATCCGGCTCCTCACGTGATCGGATCTCGGCGAATAGCGGCGCGGCGGCACGTGGAAAACAGACGCGCAACTCTGGCTCCAGCGGAACTCTACCCGACACAAAGTACCCTGCATCAATCATCCATTCGGTCTTGCATGTTTTTTCCCGTCGTTTTAACCTTCTTGCCGCCGTCTCGCGTTTCGCGCCCTTATGCCCAACGTTGCCCGTGCCCTCGTACCTCATCGTCTCGAAAATCTCGTCTCGCGTCTTTTTAAAAAATTTTCAACGATAAAGCGGTCCTGTGCGGACGCTCCGACGGTAGTGTGCCGGGTGCCAGCCATGCCGTCATGCTGTGAAACAAAACCACGTTTTTTGGGCGGCGAGAGTTGCTTTGTGAACTGAAACGCTCGCGCGATCACAGTCACCGTGGTCGCGCGACGTCGGGTGTTGCCGTCCCCACGTCGCTGCAGATATGGCGCTTTTTAAACTTGTTTATCGACATTCCTGGCCTTCTTTAAATCAAACTTTACTACAAAAAATCCCCTAACTCAACGACTGCTTGTCGAAATATTGATTACCTCAGTTTCTCTCGGTGGACTTTCTTTCGAGAGGGAGCCCGGTATGTGAAAAATCTGCCGCGAAAGAAAGTTGGTGAAGAGAAGTGAGCTAAAGCAAAGAAGGCAATGTGTGAACCCGCACATCGCGCTTGTTTGTCTCGAGTTTGGTCGAAGCGCTCCAAGAACGTTTTGACCCTGGCGCGCGATGTCATGCATCGATGCGCTCAGGTTCTTTTTTTCTGTGTGTTTAGCTTGTACATCGCCTGCCAACCTACCAAGCACAGGCCGCTCAACTGCTTTTTTTTTTTTTTTTGTATGCTGGACAGTTACATTTTGCATAGTATTTTGGGAACCAGTTGGCGACGGAGGAGAGTTGCATTGTTTCGGTTTCGATTCAGCAGCCGTTGTCTCCGCTCGCGCAACAAAGCACAGCCACTGCAAGCCTGCTGAAGTTGCCCTCACGTGCATATGAGAACATCACTGCATGACAGAGACGCCAGCCGGGATGCTTGCAATTCATTGTTTTGCATTTGCTTACTTTTGACGAAAACCTGGCATGTCGGGAACCAGTAAATCGGTGGCAAGCGTTCTTTTCGGAATTGCTCGGCAACGCCTATAACAATGTACACTTGTGGGATGTCTCAGCAGTAAAACACAAACAGCGAGTTCTGTCACAACACACCACAAAGTGCCCTTCGTTTGTCCATCAATTAAAACAAATATTTTTATTTTTCTAAGAATATCTGCTCCAAAAGCCACTTTTGCTGCTCCGAAACACTGTTTGGGCTGCTCCAAAAGCCACTTTTGCTGCTCCAAAACACTGTTCCGGCTGCTCCAAAGGCCACTTTTGCTGCTCCAAAACACTGTTCCGGCTGCTCCAAAGGCCACTTTTGCTGCTCCAAAACACTGTTCCGGCTGCTCCAAAAGCCACTTTTGCTGCTCCAAAACACTGTTCTGGCTGCTCCAAAAGCCACTTTTGCTGCTCCAAAACACTGTTCCGGCTGCTGCAAAAGCCACTTTTGCTGCTCCAAAACACTGTTCCGGCTGCTTCAAAGGCCACTTTTGCTGCTCCAAAACACTGTTTTGGCTGCTCCAAAAGGTGCTCCAAAATGGCTTAGGCCAATCACATCACTGCTAGTGCCACTAAATAAGCTATGCTTCAGAGTAACGACACTTGGCCATATTGTGTCTTAAAATCATGGTTGCCAGTTATCTGAAGCTTTATCTGAAATCACAGGAAATGCTTTTCCACCCTCCACAAATGTTTAAACCGTTCGCGACAGAGCAAAGGAATATTATATGACCTTCCTAACACCGAATCTAATGCTGAGGAAGTCACACTTTTGAATCATAACGATCGGTCGTTGCGTCTGTTCTGCATACGAGCGAAAATGGCGGCGCCCACAACACTGTCGAGGAATGGAGTGTCGATACTCTAAGCGCAGCTTATTTAGTGGCTCTAAAGGTCACCAAGCATTGGTGACTTGCCAATGTTGCTTGATGAACCTTTGTAAAGTGTCTATTAGAATAGCTCAGTTCCAATTGGGATTACCAATTAGTCATGCGAAAAGCAAATCATTTCTGCGATTCTAGTTGGTACCAATTGATATATGCATATTTGTACCAAGTTGCCTTTTCTTTTTCTTTCTGCGATCTGCGCGCGCGATATTGGCTCCCGTGATGTGCAAGTTTTTAGCGGTGCCCCGTATGCTTATTGCAATGTGAAGTGAAAATCTTCTGCGTCCACAATCTGCAGTGTCTGTTCCCTTGGCATGCGAGTTTGCAGCGAGGTCCAGCGCTTTTCTTTGTGACCTGCGGGTACGATATCGGTTTTTGTGACACCCGAGTTTCTAGCAGGTTCTCACGTGTTTATCGCACCGTGAAGTGTGCATCTGCTGCCCTCGTGATCAGTGGTATCTATTCCCATGACAGGAGCTTGTAGCAAATTCCCATGTGTTTATCGCAACATAGAATGCGGTTACCATTTCACGAGGTTTGTTTCACGCAATGTTTGTCACGCATTTTTCATAAAATTTTGCTGCTGCATTCTAAAGATGGCCCACCCCATATTTTTCACCATTTATCTGTTCATTTTGGATGCGCATTCTTACGGGATTTTACGGTAATTGACAAAGTCGGCCGGTCGTAATGGTATCTGATCACTGGGAATACTTCTGCCTCTTGGCGACTGAGTGAAGCAGCTCTTTCCCAACTTTGAAGTCAAATGATCTTGGCAGATTAAAAAAAATGTGCCAATCTCTGAACTGTTAGGGTTGGTGGCAAGTGCGACAAGTTCAGCGTGCCTTTTTTTTATTTCCAGCGTGATCCCGATTTGAATACTATCAGGATGATATACACGTCTGGTAGAAGTGGTGCCGAGAGTTACGGACAAATTGTGTTTTTTGCTAGACATCTATGACCCTGTGCAGTCACTCTACTTCTGAGGTGACTCGCAGCAACATTCGTGCGCTGTCTTTCCCCACAGAACCTGAGGATGTACCGCCTGTTTGGGCTGAAAGCGTGCTACCTGACAATGGCGGCAGCATGTCTGAATGTCCACTGCAACCGGAGGCACACGGGGACACTATCATTGCAGTTAAGGAAGGTAAGCGTTAAAGGCCCCACTTGCCAAGCTTTGTCTGAAAAACAAAGATACAACTAACCATAATTTTTATAGCAAAAGGGGTTTTGAATCTCACTACCAAAATAGATTGTTTAATTGTGAAAATCTGATTAAAATATTTACTGTTCTCAGTATCATTAAACTTTTTTGTTTATTGGCCTAATGTTAGTATGAAATAGCTAACTTTAGGTTTATTCATACTTAAGGCAAGACACTGGTTCTAAAATCGACATTTTTGTTTATTAATGGATTATAATGAAAATCAGTGTGTATATGTGTTTTAGCTTCATCTTTCCAAAAATTCAATTAGTTCTGCAATATCTCAATTACTTTTTGAGTTACGAAGAAAATAACGAAGCCTAATTAGGTCATTTCTTACGACTCATTAAGGAACTTTCTAATACTAATTTTTTTCCAAAAGTGATATGGATTTGTAGCTAAAGACCTGCCATGCAAGATGATGCTATTTATATTTTTGTAAAGATAGATCATTGTATAAAACTAGTCTAATTAGGTCAAGTACACTATTTACAAAGCCTAACGAGGTCACATTATCACTAACATTAAAATTTCGGGCCCATACTGTCATACAAAAATAGCATCACCCTGCAGTTCACTTCTTTCTGAATTCAATGGTATAAAGTTTTTAGAAATCCTTGAAGAATAATCTCATGAAAACAACCGTAAGGCTAGGCATGTAGACGAAAAATGCGAAGCTGAGAAAATTGCAGTTGAAGTTTTGACACCCATTGCATAAAATTGAGTAAGGGATCCCTTACAATAATGTTCAGCAATATGAAGCATAGTTCTATCTGAACAAATTGAGATGAAAAATTCTGCAGTCCATTCACAAGAACCTTTAAAAAATAACATAAAACTGAGAAATAATGTCTGCAATGTAAAATAAAGTTATAAAAGAATGAGTAGACTCTATAAGGGACAACGGGAGGAGGCACCAAGGGTTGCACGTTCCGAAAGCAGATTTTGTATGGCCCTGAAAAGGCCCTTTGTTCGTGTAGCACTTGAAAGGGTGGCCCCCTCACAGCTGTCCAGGACTGTAGTCCCCAGCTTTTCCAGTTTCCGCGGCTTCCGCACTTCGCCTGCGCGAAGAGGTCGTTGAGAGCTTTCATGTCCACTACATTGAACTGTGTCCCAGCGTCGCGCATCTGGCCTCCTGTGGTGACGCCGAGAAGGTCGAATTCGCGCTGGGTCGCCGACTTTTCCGATAGCGCACGCTTGCATTCGTCCGATCGTGCGACTCGTTGCGCCTGCTCGGCCGTGGAGTAGTATGCGGTGTCAACACGAACCGCGCTCGCAAAGCTCGACAAACCGCCGCTGCTGAATGGAGTCGCGATGTCTCCGGCTGATGTTTCCGGAAGATCCAAGGCATCCGGCGGTGCCGATCGCGGTGGCGCACTTGCAGCAGACAGCTTCGGCTTCTTGTTCCACGGTCGCTTCCTCTTCCTTCCGAACGCTTGCCGCGTGCTCGATTTCAACCGAGCGTCGTCCGGCATCTCGAGAACTCGAAGCGAAACAAAACAAAACACGCGCGACATCGTAGGAAAACGAACCAACAATGTTCAACGCAAGCGCGCAAACGGGAACTAAAACGTGCGCTCGACCACGGAAGAAACAAAGCAGACAGGCCTAAGGAGACGGGCGGAGACGGGCCCAGGAGCAGACGACGCACCTCTCGCCAGCGCGGGAGCGGAAAGGAGGAAAGGAGAAAAAGAGCGGAGGGGCGCGTTTAGGCCAATAGCAGGGGCGCTAGGCGCCGCGCGTGCTCTGACGTACGGGCACTTTGCTAGCCGGCCAATGAGCGATCACAATTGGGGCCTTCGAAACCCGCGGAATGCGGACGTTTCCCGATGTTGTCGCGATAACGAATGGCATGGGGACGTGGGGAAAATAAGCGGCTTTCCAACAAGACCAAGATGGCCGCGATCCGACGAGCGATTGCGAAACGCGCGGGGCGCGAAGTTCCACTTGTTTTCATTGAACTCGCTGTGTTAGGGCTCTGCGGGGACATCGTAAATATCATTTTTTTCATGTTTAGACATTGAATTCGACATTGAAACTTTGCAGGCAGGTACCTTAGACTACAATTAATCCAAATATGTGAATTTTGAAAAACGTGAAATTTCGCGTTTTTTGACCATTTTAAGACCCGCGTCTCCCCTTAAGGTGTTTTTTTTCCAAGTGATGCCTTCTTTTGATGATGGCAAGTAGAAAGTAGGAAATACTTCATAGTCTCACATTTCTTATTTTTCTGCCTTCACTGTTGAGAAGAGTGCCTCATGGCAGCGGCTGTGGTGGCACAAGGCTGCCAAAATGCAAGCTTTTATTTTTTATCTCATATCTCTTCCAATTTGAAATGGGGTATACCCTGACCAGGGAGTCATGAACCACGTTTAGAACGTCAGATTGCACTTTCCCCGCTGGCAAATTGAGTAAATGTAGTGGTTTGAGATGATTTGTGTAAAAAAAAAAAAGCTGGAATTAACTGTGGCTATGGACTTTTTGTATAGCTCTGTGTTCAATCAAGCTGACCTTGATTTGATACAAAGGTGGGCTGCTGCGCACAATGTATGAAATGCTTCTGCTAGAAACCATGTCGTGGAGCGACACTTTTTTCAATGCTTCCACTACAGCATTAATTGACTGATTTGATTCGTGCTAAAATTCTACTTTTCACCCATCTTCATGTTATACTCGGGCCTGGGCAAGACAGAACAGATGCCTAGTTTCTTGTAACAGATGCATTGAGTCAATACTTACCAAGATAAAAAAAAAACTGAGACAGATTTTATTGTTGCCGAGGGCATGGCCTCCACATTATTGGCGAGAACTCCAGCGCGTAGAGAAAGCTTACCTTGGCCCATCTAAACTAGTTGAAGCATGCAAAAGTTATGCTTTCTCCTCTTAGACTAATACTAGTAATTAAAAAATCTGCAGTGAGTGCCTTCCTCGATCTGAAATGTTCAAGTGCAGAGTTGTGTAGACATCAGGATGTTTTTGGCATGTCGGAAACAGTTCTTTCTGTAAGAAGTGTGTGACTTTTCCTATGTCTGCTCAAATTTGAGAGAACGAAATCGATCCGATGCATGTCCCCAACAGAGCCAACTGATGTGGAATGGCAGAGTTCCAACCACGAGGAGAGCAGCAGCTCTTTTGCCCGCAAGCAGTGGGACCAGGGACAGCAGGAGGAACAGTACGAGCCCAAGAGCTACGACTGCCGCTTCTGCCCTTTCTCCAGCTTCATCAAAAGCAAGGTTGCCGTTCACGAAAGGACACACAAGGAACAGCCGAACTTCACCTGCAACCACTGCCAAATGGCATTCACCACCAGGGAGAGTTTGAATGTTCATGCAAGCACTTTCGGTGGCAGAGCACACTTCAAATGCTCTGGTTGCTCACGAATATTTCTGCGGAAGGGTCGCTTGCTTGCCCACCAAAATAATTATCATGTACATGGAAAGCCTTACGAAGGCAACACTTGCAGCAAACGATCCCCGTCGAAAAGCAGCGTCACACGTCACCAAGATGTACATGTGGACACAAATCGCATTAAATGTGCCACATATCAGCGGACATTTGAGTCGGAGAAAAACTCGAAGCACCTCAGCCACAATGTCTGCGAGGAGATAGATGTTCATCAGAGCACCGATGTTGATGAAAGGCCTTTTCAGTGCTCCAAATGCCCCAAAGCTTTTAGAGAAAAATGTCACTTGGCTACTCATCAAAGGTCTCACGTGGATGAAAGGCCCTTTAAATGCCCCAGATGTGCTAAAGCATTTCAGACAAAGTCTCGTATGACTGCTCATATGGTAACAAGGCCTTTTAAATGTCCCTTCTGCTCTAAAACATTTCATTTGAGGTGTGGTTTGACAGCTCATAAAGGAGTTCACATGACTGAAAGACCCTTTAAATGCCCTTTGTGCCCTAAAGCATTTAAAAAAAAGTGTCACTTGACTGGTCATAAAATAACTCACACGCCCGTTAGGCGCTTTAAATGTGCCCTCTGCCCTAAGAGATTTCTAACAAAGTCGAATTTGACTACTCATAAGGTAACTCACGTAGACGAAAAGCCCTTTAAATGTGCCACCTGCCTTAAGGTATTTAGAACCAAGTTTAATTTGAGCAATCATGAGATGATTCACACAGGTAAAAAGCCCTTTAAATGTACCACCTGCTTTAAGTCATATCAAAATAGGAGTGGCTTGAGAAATCATGAACGGAGTCACACCAATGAAAGGCCCTTTAAGTGTGTCACATGCCACAAAACATTTGCAACCACGTCTACTTTGTATAGACATGAGCTAGTTCACAGTGATGACAGGCCCTTTAGATGTCCTGCATGCCCTAGAGCATTTCGGACCAAGTCTTGTTTGACTAGACATGAGATGGTTCACACAGATGAAAAACCCTTTAAATGTCCCTTCTGTCCTAAAGCATTTCCTAGGAAGTCTTCCTTGACACATCACGAATGGGTTCACAGGGGGGAAAAGCCCTTCCAGTGTACTTCCTGCGACAAAGCCTATCGAAGAAAAAGCCACTTAACTAAACATGAAAAAGCTCATGAGGTTTTCATAGAGAAGCCAGCTGTATAAGAAGGTTCAGCAATAAGTGATGAGGAAATCGCTTTCAATGCCACACCTGCCCTCATGCCTTTTGAAGAAAGTGGTAAATTACTATTCAGGAAAGGATGATGTGTGGATGAAAGGCACTTTAAAGGTCCCAGCTGCCTTAAAAGGCCCCTGAAAAGAAAAAAAAATTAAATATTTTTGAACAGTCTGGTTTGGACACGCTTGTCAAAAAATTAATTTTATGCAAAATAAATTTTTTTTTTTATAGCGATATTGACAGCGCGAGACGCGATTTAGTCGGCAGTCTCCTCCTTTCCGCTTGTTTTCTCTCGGCATTTCCGGCGCGTGGAGGAGAGGTGGAGCGGCTTGGCCTTCACGACCGTGATGGTCGACCTTTCCGGAATGACCTGCGATGTCATGGATTTCGCGCGCATAATTTAAAATAAATCTCTCCATCGATATTGCTCTAAAAATCATTTTTTTTTCACGTAAAATTTATTTTTTGACACGCAGGTCCCAACTAGACTGCTTAAAAAAAAACTTTTTTTTTTTTTGTTCAGGGCCCGTTTAAGGATAGGAAAAAAAAAAAAGAGATACACCTTTCATAGCCCTCATACTTTATTCTTTTTGTTTCAAATATTTTTTAACTGCTCGTAAAGGTGCACGACGGGGTTCTCATATAGTGGCAGGGCGGGCATGTTAGCAATATATAGGCACCACTGGAATGCTGGCAAACCTTGAACACACTTTATGTTCCTTTCTATTGTTATTTTGCTTAGAATTGTCGCTCGTTTTTTTACATACCTGTGGGAAAGAGGTTTTTGGCTTGAAATAAAGCTTCGTTCAGTGGTAAACAAAATTGCCGTAACTAAAGAAATTACACTTTTACAATGTTAATAAAGGGACATACTAGTTGGTTTAACCCAAATGACAAAGTTATCTATGTTATTTTCTGTAGGAGAGACAAAATGCTTGCGCGTTTTTCCTTAGGAATTCACCAGAGCTCCGCAAAAGTAGACTGGTTACTGTCTGCTTCAATTTCTATCCTGAAAGTCTCATAGACACTAGCACCAGTTGAACCTCTGGCGTACATTATAAGAACTCTGTGGTACACGGTGCTTGAGTAGACACCTGAGGCCAAATTCATGAAGAGCTTCTTAGTTTACAACAACTTAGGTAAGAAGTTTGTAAGTTACGAATATCGCAAGAAGAGGAGAAATCGGTATCCACGAACACGTTCTTAAGTGAGAGGAGGAAAGCGACGTTCTTGTACAGAAAAACTAGAACTTATCGATGCTGTTCCTATAGCGACGGCGTCTTCGGCAGCGCAGACAACCAATCGGAGAGCTCGGCATGGTTCGGAGCAGTTCGGAGCACATGGATTTTTAATAACAAAAACAGGCTACCTTTCTGCCACCGCTTGTCTGCGGTTCGTATCCATACAGTGATATGCCGACGCTAACACGATTTTAACGTGCCCGATTGGTGAGGCCGGGATGCGTAACCACCTTTGTGCACTGCTACAAACTAGATAGCTACGAAGTCAACACAACTCTCATCGTTGGTAAAAGACGGCCCGTGCAAGTCATTTGCAAAGCGATGTAGATGGAAACAAATCGCCGCGGCGTTTTTCGCGGCCTGGGAGATGCAGGAGCGAGCCGACACTCAAAACGATATGTTTGGACAACGAGTGTGTCAGCAAGAGTCGTGTAAATACGTGTTCACACTCGGGGCGGACGCGCACGTTTGATCGAAGTGCTGGATTCGCGCGGTTGGACCGTGAATTGGTAAGCGCTTCGGGACCAATCTTTTACGATTGCAACTCAATACTGACGTGACACTCGGCAAAGAAAGGTTGGACCGGCATTGTGTAGCTCCCACGAACTGTTACAGCTCAACAGTGAGGTACAGTCATGTCAGAATAAAAATGGCATACTTATGACAAATTGGACATACCGTGTTGCGAAGGTAATCCATACAGTGTTTATTTAATCTCTATATCACACGAAACAAGGATATAGAACCAATGAGAGTCCCTTTTCTACGACAGCGTTAGTCACCGCTGCCTCGAAAAGCAAGGAGCTGACAAGGGGAAGAGATTGACCTCTTCATCTAAAATTGAGGTCAGCAATCAAACTATAATATGGGAAGGGTCCAAAAGGGTCGTGCAAGCATATTCCATTCAGCAAGCTAGCCAGTTGTGGGCAGACGGTCTTGGCCAAGGATCATCGAAGCAACTCTACACCGAGTCGGAGTGCCTGCTAGGCCTATATTCTGCCGAGCTCGCTTGCTCGGGGTCAGTGGAATCATGGCCGTTGTAGCTTTTCCCGGGTATTTGTGGATCCAGCGTTCTTGTTCGTCATGGTCTGTTTCAAGTACTTCTTTCTTTTTTCTTGCTGCTTGAAGTCGGGACGCGCGAGAAAAGCACGTAGAAAAATAAACGTCCGTTGGTCGTCGCGACCAAGTAATTAGCTGAGTGGCGCTGTCGACCATGCTGATTTGATCATAAAAAATGTGTAAGACGGCTCCGAAGCTGTCGTAGGATTCGTGGTAACCTGCGCAAAACTTACGAGAATTTTGTTTCGTGAATACGAATTTGTTCTTACGTTTTGTCGTACACACATTTTTGCCGTAAGATCGTTTCGTGAATCTGGCCTCAGATGATAGATAGTGCTGAAAGATCCTTTCAATGCCCAACTTGCCTAGAGTCAGTTTAAAGAAAGTGTTGATTAAGTATAAAGTAATTTTTAAATTTGAAATATTCTACATCTGTGAAAAATGTTCCAAAGCATTTGGGCAGAATCAGGACTTATGCACAAGGCTTCTTTTATAGACCATTCCACTTGGATTTTTTTAGAAGACAGGGAAATGGATTCGTGACGTTTGGGCAGTTTTGGCGGTACAGCCCGCCGGAACTGCCCAGACGTTGGGAACGGCCACTTTGTCGTCTGCTATCAGGATCGGGTGCGTGCCCTCTATCTTTTACCGCTTTGAATCCGTCAAGAGTAACTGGTTTGTCATCTGCTATCGTAATGCGGTGTATGCCTTTTCCATCTTTTACCCTGCCGAATCAGTCGAAATGCCCGGATATATGTAGGTGGCCCCTCAGTCGAACGAAATGGCACCTCCTAGACAGCCCTTAGTGGAATGGTGTATGTGCCTGGAGCCATATTAAAATGGCCGATCCACCCATTCGTGTTCCCTTTGGTAGTTTGAACATTCACAAGACTTCAGAAAGGTAAAAGGCTATTTATGTGCCAATGCATGAAAAGGCATTTTTAAATAAAGGGTGTGTTGTGGCTCTTCAACTGAGCGATATGCCGTAAACTCCATTCAAATGCCACAAGCCCTCGGAACGTTCTGCATTCCAATGACTGTCGGTGCGTTACACTTGGTACCATACAGTGTCCCTGCTCCTTTTAATTGCACGCTAGCAATGCATGCCACAGTGATGTAAAATGTTTTACCAATGTGCAAGAATATGTTAGTACAGCATGTGCGTAGCCCCGTTGTCGTGGTTCAAGACTACTGTTTCCTGTGTAATCTTCAAATGAATCGATGACAAGCTGGAGAAAATTTGAGCCCTGGAGCCTTCGCTTAGGTGTATATATTGTACATATGTGCTGGACAAATATTTTAATAAATATGGTGCTTTTTTTTTCAGTCACCCATGTACATTTTTGCGTAATAAAATATGTATAAATATATATATATATATTTGATCTCAAGCTGGTCATTAAAAATGTTTGGCATTGAACCCCATTAGTCCAAGGCTTTGTTACCAAGGTAATTTATTGTAGTACTAGTTTGGTGTAGATTTTTGTTTAGCCCTGGATGTATAGACTTTTTCGTGTACTCTCGTACCCAGCCACCAAATAGGCGTATCCGGTATGGGTGACAAAAAAAAAAAAAAAATAAAACGTTTGAACCTGTAACCAGTAAAAAAATAGAAGTGAGCGAAAACGAGAATGTGTGACGGTTATGCTTATATCCTAAGTGTCTTCTATTGGCGTGGCGACGGCAAAACAATGTTTTCACCAGGCACGTAGCCAGGATTTTGTTTCAGGGGGGGGGGGCCCGCCCATGACAAAATGCTGTATGAGGGGGAGGGGGAGAGGAGGCCCCAGCAAAATGGAAGATTTCGGGGGGGGGGGCCCGGGCCCCATGGCCCCCCCCCCCTGGATACGTGCCTGGTTTTCACCCATACTGGAAGTGACGACAATTCAAGATGGTGGCGCTCTCGTAGAAAATGTCTATACTCTCACGAATGGAAGGATAGACTGAAATAGCTGATGCTTGAAAGCAGGTTTAAAGAATATTGGCAAGTCACTCCCAACCTACACTTGATGTGATCAGAACAGAGGACAATTGCCTCTATTTGTAGACTCACGGTCATTAGGTGTATGTACCAATGGATTTTCTACTTTTCTGCGGCACCTGGCACGTTGAACCGTAAAATATATTTTCGCTCGTGTGACCTCTGGTAATTCTCGAGTGATGGAAGTGCTACGCGCCATTTGGCCAAACTGCGCCACGAACGCAAGTCTGCTTGCCATTTTTGCACAAATTTGCGCCATAACTGCACTAAGATGAGCTTAAACAAAGCAAAAATAAAAAAAATAATTTTTGTTGACACTAATATTGAGAGAAGTAGAAGAGATACAAAAAAAAAAAGGGTAAAAACATGTATTTCACAGTGTGTCTACTCATTGTAGCTAAAATTCACTGTTCTACCGCGCTGGCCACGTCCTCGTCAACAATACATCAACACATGGCGGCAATTTCAAGAAGCTAAATACTGCAAAAAAAAAAAAAAAAAAATTTTTTTTTTTTTTTTTTTTTTTTGTGCAACAAGCATAGTTTTATTGTTTAAATCAAGTGAGCTGGGGGGGGGGGGGGGGGGGTGCTTCCCGCATAAAACCCAAAAGGGCGTCGGCATGCGCCTTTACTCTAGTCCATTTATGGTAGTCCTCGGGGGCGGCCAGGTTGAGGCCTCATACCAGAGTTTGGAAGGAGGAGGTGCTGCAGATTTGGACAATTCCAGAGAATGTGTCGGAGGCCCACTGTGGACGCCCTGGCAGAGCAGTGGGGGCTCGTAAAATGGTCGTATGGCGGCTTCTGTCTAAAGACAGAACAGGGTATCGTACTCCTGATGAGATCGCTCGGTTTTCATATCAGCCTCATGCCTCCACGCCGTTGCACTATCGCCACTCGCACCAAACTCTCCACCTCGCGCAGGCTCGCCTGCCTCGAGCTTCACCGCATTACATTGGTGCGTTGGGAGAAATGGCTCGCAGTTTGTGATTTTAGATACTTGAGTTTTGTAGATTCGTAAATCTTAATGGCACTTTTTTTTTTTTTTTTTTTTTTCTTCTTTTGTTGACGTTATGCGGATATGCCAGTTTTTTCCCCAGAATTTTACGTAAACGATATTGACGGGCAGTGTAAAAGAGGAAGTGGGGAGAGACACTTTATCTGAACTCAAGTATCTTGCTATGATTAATTTTTAAACCCGTTTATTTTTAAACGAGTAATTTAGTCGATGCGGCGTGATTTCCGAAATAGCAAACCACCTGTATGGAATTCATTAAAGACCAGGACTGTCTGAGTAGCTGTATCTTAAAACTGGTGTGTGATGCTAGCCTTGGGTGGCGCTGTGACGGGGGGTAGTGTTCATTTTCTGGAGGCTCCTATTTCTTCAGCGTCCCTATATGCCTCAAGTTTTTGCAAATTTTTCTTGGTTGGCTTTTAGCTCTGGTAGGTCTTGGTGCGCCACAAGACCGTGACTATAGTTGGTGACAGGTTAAGAACGCAGTAGATGGTCCGCCTCTAGTCCGAACTTCATGCCTTCCTGACAATTTGATAACATTTCACCGCACGCGGAACCAAAGTTCGGTGGTAAGCAACAAGAAGGTACTGGAAGGTTCTCAATATCTCGCTGACGTTGCTGTCGCAGGTGACAAGTTTCCTTCTTCACCTCCACCCCCTTTGTATGAATTTTCCGGAACCAGACCACAGGGCTGTCGGGCCATCTTCGTGCGTTGCAGGTTCGTAGCCTTACTGAACTGGACCGGCCAAGGTCCTCCGAATTGAACTTGGGTTGTAAAACAAGAACTGCCATCCGTGGCCATAGTAAATACGTTTTCTCAACTCAGCTTGAATGAAAATTAGTGGGACAGCGCACACTGGGCGTCACTCCTTTTCATCATAACGAAACCGGAACCATCATACAGCGGTCCGGCCTTTGACAACCTGAAAAATTTAATTTTGTCTGTAGCTGTCAGAAACACTGCAGTAACGCGTCTTTTCCTGCGAAATAAAAGTACCACTTTATCTTTTCTTTGTTTGATCTAGCAAAACTTTTAGTATTATTGTTGAAGGAGGAGAAAGATCGGTCGGTATCTCCCAAGGCAAGACAATCCAATCCATTAACTTGAGTGATATGGGACGTTTGTTGTAACGTTGGTTAATTTTGGAACCTGCGGTCCCCTTTCACTGGTACAGCATGAGGCTCAAGCTAGTTATTAGCTTCGTGTTCCGCGCCCGTGGTTTCCCGGGTTCCCTCTTGCACGAACGTGCTTGCATGAATGGACGCAAACAGCTCGTCGAGTAGGTCGTTGCTGCCGCGGATCCACACCATCATCTGCTCCAGCGGGTAACAGCTGCAGGTAAAACCAATGAAAACGTGCACATCTCTATTGCGTAATAATAATGATAATGATCTTTAATTACTTGGAAGAGCCACGGCACTGCACTTTTCTCTCTTTCTCTCAGCGTGCGGTCACCTAGGCCCATATTCTCACTGGCACTAGTGGGGCCGAAGTATGGGAGGCACTCACTTGATCGAATGACGTTTTAGCGAACGCCGACGTTTCACCGAATGACACTTTACCGAATAGTCGGACGCCGCGAAGCGTCGTTTTCGGGTGGGCCAAATGGGTTCACATTTTTGTAATGAGCCGCCGCAGACTGTCGCCGCGATGCGGCGTAAGCGCAGCGCGGCGGATGGTTTAACGCGCGCCCCGTTATTCGCTAAAAAGTCGATTCGCTCAAATGTCGCTGTTCGCTAAAACGTCAATCGCTCATGTGATATGGACAGGAGGCACTCACTTGATCGAATGACGTTTTAGTGAACGCCGACGTTTCACCGAATGACACTTTAGCGTAAAATCGTACAGAACGCCACTGATTAAGAAGTGTGGTGGCGCCGGACCGGAGGCCTGGCTGGCCGAGCAAGGAACGACATGCGCGGTAAATAAACGTTGAAAAAAAAAAGGAATTGTGTCGCTTGTATGTTTGCACAGCCTTGATGCTGGTACGCCTCAACGGGTGACCTGTTTCTAGATGAGAAATTTAGCCAGGGCAGTACAACCGCTAACCTGGGTTTTTTTTAATGTGCATTACGCAGTAGTGATTACAGGAACGTGTGCCGGTACGAAACTCATCGAGATCGAGATGGGAGGGCGTGGGGATCGAACCCAGAAGGTTCTGCAGCGCTAGCTTTTGCTCCACGCTCCGAGCTAAGACGCATTAGTGGGTATTGATGTCGCTGACCTGTAATAAGGCGGAGCCTTCGGGGGAATAACGGGGGCACGCATTAACCCACGCGCTGCAGTTACGCCGCTTCGTGGCGCCAGTCTGCGGTGGCTCATTACAAAAATGTGAACCCACATGTCTGTGTGTGTTGGCCCACACGTAAACGCCGCTTCGCGGTACCCGACTATTCGCTAAAGTATCGTTCGGTGAACCACCCCCTCAAGAGACTTCGCCTTATTACAGATAACGACTGCAGCTCGGCCACTGATCCCCCTTAATATTTAATCCAATGATGTGCTTATATAGAGATGGCATGGTAAACAGTGCCCTCTATATACCCCCTTAAAAAGAACAGAAAAAACGTGATTGTTATGTACACAGCTGACAAATACAATGACCAGATTGTTAGCATTAACAAAACAGCCCAGAACGTCTACACTAACTATTTACAACCCACTCGGGACGTAGTCTTCATATCTTTATGGCATTCTTCTCATCCACTGGGGCCTGCTATGTAGCGATGGGGTGGCGTCCTGCTTGACTTGCCCTGGGGCTGGTGCTGACTCTGCTGGTGGAAATAGAGCTTCAGCCTCCTGACTTCAGGTGTCCGATGTTTCCTCGCCGCTCCCTGCGTCAGGCCCACATGAGGAGGCTGCAGTAGTGCCCCCGGGTGATGGCGACAATGGCGGCGTCCTCTCCTCAATGTCCATCCCTACGTGAGAATGGAGACTGGATGTAATGTTCTCAACCACTTCCTTGTGTCCCTCCTTGGGCATCCAGTGTCAGCTTTGCTGTGTTTCATTTGTATCCATTTGCGAGGAGAAACAAATTTTTACAAATGCGTCTTTTCACCTTCATCAGTACAGAAAACTTTTGCTGCACCTTGGCCCCCCTCCCCCCCCCCCCATCTTCACAAAATCTGTGGGCTCAATGGTAGAGTTCTTGGCACCTTGTCTTTCATCACTATACCTCTTGGTACGTCGTTGCTGCTCGAAGACCCTCTGCAATGTACACCTGTGACTTGTCGAAGAATTCTCTCTCAGGGAGTTCAACCACGTCCAGCCTGGTCCGTGGTTTCCTTCCATGTAGCAGATATGCCGGAAACTTGCCTGTTGTTGCACGAGGGGGGGGGGGCTCTGTAGATGCTGAGGTACTCCAAGACGGCTTTCTTAATGTGTCTTTGCTCCAGTGCTGGAACCTGGATATACTCCTTGAGAACACAATTAAACCGTAGTATAAAGTAGCCAAACAGTGGTCAATCCCACTGTCCTGTAGGAACTCTTCAAAATACAATGACACAAGCTGACGCCCATTGTCAGCCACAATGCTCTTTAGATAGCCTTCGCATGCTAAAAGTTTCAATAGCACTTTCACCACAGACTGTGACTTTACTGACAACACAAAAAGACCTCTGGCCATTGGCTGTGATAGTCAATCATGGTTACCGCGAACCTGCACTAAGGAGGTGCCCATTCCATTGAACCCACAATGCCCACATCCAATTTTTCCCAGGCTTTTTCAAGCCACTGCACTTGCTGATTCTGTCGACTGTGCCAATTTGTGGAATGAGGCCATTCCACAGACTGGCACAGTTTCTTGTATATAGACGGCGCTGTTCATCACAATGAGGCATGATAAACAGCGCCGTCTATATACAAGAAACTTCTTTGTCGCCACATAATTTCAAAGATAAAAGCGGACGTTTCCTTTTTGTCTCTCTTTCGCAGACTTTGAGTACGAAACGAAGGTCGGGGGACCACATTGTTGGCATTGTGAACAATGCAATCCCCCAGGATTCCGTCGCCAAGTTTTGTGATCCCCACTCATCTCTTTGTTCCCAACGTGTGGCACTCTGCATGTGCCTTGTGGTTTGCTAACCACAGCGTGTGGCTATGATAAACATTGGCGGCACAAACTTGGCTCCAGATCACTTAGGTGCGTGTTCTGGTTGGAGGTTTGAGTGCAGCTCGTTTTTCTCAAATATTTTTCAGCGACTGTCATTGTGTGAAGAAAAAAAAAAACTAATGGATGTATCAGGTTAAATGTCAAGAAATATTTCCAAGCGGTATTTGCTGGAGGTGTGAAAATTGTTGCATTGCCCCTTTAACAGTGCACAGCTTGTGCTCGGTGCATCGCTTTGGAGAATAGACTGCTTCCAGAAAACTTTGCACCAAACGCCACGCGCGTTGCATTATGGGACTTATTTGGCAATGGAGAGGGCATGGTTTTGGTACGGATTCCCTTGTTGGCAAAGTAGTGCATCTTAGCACTGCATAGAAAATAAAGTCAGCACTCAGTGGCTTTGCACCTATTCATCTTTGTGAGAGACCCCGTGGAAATGCGGACCTCGAATAGCCGGCCTGCCTAGGCTTAGCGAGGAGTAGGGCCGGCCACGTCTGAGGCCTTTCTGGTGGTTTGGCTACCATTCCAGAGTTCAGCATGACCCTCCTGGCTTATGGGTAATAAGCCTATGACATTGAGGAGACGATGGAACAGGATAATCGGCCTTGTATACTTCTTCCATGTGCTACTGTAGTCATGTCTACCCGTGCACAAACTCTGGCACGTTGGGAGCGCAGAAAAAAACGTTCCCCAGCATTCCATTTGTATTGGTAGGCAACACCTTTGTATTATAAATTTAAACAAAAGTCACATATTCGAAAATGCAAGCATTGTGTTTAACCCTGGTGCAATGTCGTGAGGTGAGGTTGGCAAATCAAAACCGAAACTTTTGCCAGCGGGATCCCGAGATGCTTTCCACGGCACTATGCCACTCGAATCGCTTAGATTTTGCGAGAGGTCTATTCGATTTTGCAAAAGATCTAGTTCATGTGATTAAATCTTTACGTTTTATCAATTTTTTAGGAATTTATGCTTCTAATTCTAGGCTCTTCTATAGGCAAATAAACAAAAAGTTCATATTGTTCTCATTTTGGCAACGTTGAAACTAGATATGGTTACATTCAAACGAAAATGGTCGTCAACGAGGGCTGCAGCAGCATGCCTGCTTTGAACTGTGCACATTCTGCGTGGGAGGCACCTGTAGCTTTGGTTGCACTACTGCTCTAGAATTATGTTGACCTCCTTTCACGAGCAATGCGATGAGTTGGGCCAGCGCTTTTATCGACTAGGTGCTACATGACCCTGTGATATTCCCTGCACGTGTGCTTTTATTGTTTTATTTTAGTTTTCTTAGTTTCTTACTATTTCTGTAAGTATTCAAGGTGCGAGTTTATTGCACTTTTTTCTTTCTTTTTATATGTATGAACGTCATTTTCCTCTTACTCTCATAAATATCAGTTATAAGTCAGCGCTTGCGTGTGTTCTATGTATTTCCTGTTGTCCTGTCCTTTGTGCACTGTTTTTCATCTTGCTGTCCTTGCACAAAAATTTCATTTCATTGAATTTCAAGGACTTTTAAGTTTTTGTTCAAAACTGCGCAAGAATGGATGAGCTTTGCTGCTGTCACTTTGGAGCTGTATCGCCCTTCGAATTTCAGAGGGACTACAGACTAGAGGATGAACGGGTTTGGATAGTTGACCGACACTTCATTCTTTCCTTTTCCCTAGTTTGTATGATAGAAACATTTTGAAGAGGGCCCAATCGTGATAGAAGACACAGTGCTAGCTAAGAAAGGGCACTTGTCCAGAGCTGAGACGGAAAGGTTGCCGACTGGTAGAAGGATGCCCCTCAATTGTGTCGGTAAAAAACCTTCCACGATCACTCCATATCGGTCAAAAGGGTACTGCTGCCGCCGAAGGATATGTGTAGGGCAGGGGACTTTTAGTACCAAGGAGCATGACTGAAGATTGTTTTCTGGAACAAAATATATGTTTAGTAAAAAAGTTTTAAATAATAAAACATTTTAGTTTGATAGAAGTCTTGGAAGATAGGGTAAAAGGCGACCAGAGAGGCCCCATCCCCCTAAGTGCTGGCTCTCTCATTTCGCTTAATAAAGGTAGAAACATATTCTGAAAACAGCCTAAGACATAACTTGAGACCCTTGGGCAAGATCGTTAAGTATCCCATTCCATAGATGAATGAAAATTTCCTGAAAGCCTCATTAACACAAAATAACGGCGCAGGCGTGAGATTGTTCTTGCGAAGATGCTGACGGCAGCACCACCACCTGCTATCGTCGTCTCCTTTATATATCGACTATAGTCACTGACAAGGTAAGAACGGCAAGGAAGTTGTCCCACCTCCAGCGCAAGCTTCCTACCTTCAATTCGCTCCAACGTCACGTGCACCTTGAAGACATGCGCACATTCGAAGCGAGTGGCGGAAGGCATGAATGTGCTTGCTGGAGGTCGGGTATTCGAAGGACATGCCCTACTGTTCTCCTTTTGTCAGTTACTACTGCTGGTGTTGTCTGCTTTGCAGTTCAGTAGCATCGTTTCCTATCATACTCAATAATGCGCGTCTCTGCCTCAGGGCAGAAACAAAAAATGTTCTCTGATTGTATATGTGTATGCACATATGTGTGTGGTGCATTTGTGTATTTTTTAAAATATTTTGCCCTACCTCTATCTCTTTTTCCCGATACCCTTGTCTATGCTACCCTACCTTCCCCTTTTTTCCCTTTTTCTTCAAGCAGCGTAGCAAGCCGGCGCATAGCACTTGTCGACCTAGCTATATCTCAAATAAATGCTTATTTTCTTTCTCTCTCTCTCTCTGATTGGCTGCTGTCACTCAAAATGTCTCCGAGTTGTTGGAGTTGCACATTCATTTCGATGGGGACCCTATCACTATAGCACCTGGGATGTGTCTTCACCTGGCGTATTTACCACTTCATAAAAAGTGGTCCTTCAATTTCCGCCCGACGACGTCACTGAAGTGTCATGCCATTGCAGCCCCTGGCAGTTTCACAGCAGTGGTGGTGGATGTTGCAGACGGATGTCTCGTTGCAGGTTGCTCTCTAGCTCGACAGTCCGCGGACGCTTTGGCAGAACGCCGTGACGACAGCGTCGCTTGTGTTCTCTCGTGCGTTTTTTTGTAACTACTACGGCCAACCACCGGGATCTAGACATTGGACAGCTTGACACTCTGGCTTTTGTGACCTCATTTGTTGCCACTTTGGAACCACTTTCGACACGTGGGTGGAACGGGATGCCAAACACCGGCCGAGGACACATTTCAGGCACCATACTATCACTCATCTTAGCAATTCATGTTGCAGCGTGAGGATCTATAGAACGACTTGTCAGCAACCCAGAATTGCTGGTAAAATTTCACCGTTGGAAGTAGGCCCGAGACGTCTATTTGGGTCTGCTGCGACCATCGAGAACGCCTTTAATGTTTGGCGCAACACGGCACGAGGGAGGAGAGAGCATTGCCCTGCACCTGTCAGTTGACTTGCAGTCTGATCGTTTGAAGCGCTCGCTCGCTTCCTTTTTTTTCTATGGCCCGTGACCTGTCGAATCGTGTCAAGCATTTTTCTGCCATTTTGCTTTATATAACTTTCTTTTTCGTACAACTTTTTTTTTTTAATGCTGTTGCATTATTTCTTGTTTCTCGGCAGGCAAAGAGGGACGCGGTTCTTGCCAAGCTGTTGGACATTATTTTTGTGCTGCTTCGGTAAACACTGCCAGAGGCGATACCCGCTGCTCCGATGGGTGAAAGTGCGCACTTGGAGTACTGTGGCAGAATGCCCACTTCCAGTCTGCATCTAGAGGGAGAGTGGAACGGTGCTTTTCAAGTTGAAGAAGGTAAGCTGACCTCACATTTTTGTCTCAACCAAAGTCGTCAGATCAGTGTATTCAAAAGGCAGTCTGATCGTGGCGGCACAGATAAAAGGACCTTCGTCGGTGTTGAGAGGATGAAAATTGAGGGAATTGTTGCTGGACATTCGAAAAACACCAAACAGAGTGAATAGCGCAAAGAATGAATTATAATCTCTCTGTTTAGGCCACCGTTAAACGCACTTTGACTGCATATCTGTTTAGTGTCGAGCATTGAACGCAACTGCAGATTTTTTTTTGCATTCCCTCTGACAGAGCAAGGTGAAGAGTTTGCCACTCCGGCTTCCTTGGTCTGGCATTCTGGAGATGCAGAAGATCTCTTCAGTTCCCACGGGCACCTTTATGCGGACCAAACCGCATTCGTTGTTGTGAAGAAAGGTCAGCTCTTTTGCACTACTACTCTAGCTGGTACAATATCCATCTCGCGCAAACTTTTCGAAACCCTATTTCATAAGCAGAGCCTTGGCTGGTCGGAAAATTATTTGCCACATCATCCTCTTTCACTCGTCTACCTAACAGTGTGTTCAAGTGCATGCTCAAACTTGTCATGCACTTGACTGCTCAAACTTGCTCTTTCTTCATGGGTGACGCTTGTGTGTTCTTTATTGAACTTCGGTATGCATCCAAACACACTTTGTTGTCACAATACTCTTTCTTTATACTGTGCACAGCGCGTTGGCACAAGACAGACCCTCAGACTACAAAATACAAATTACTGCTTGCTGGTCCTCTTTTGTGCAAATCAAAAGTGAGGCAGCCATTGTTTCTTGCACTGCAGTTACAAGTGAACTGACACAGCATGTTCCAACCTGCACAGCTGTGACTGTAAAGACAGCCACCTCATACAAAAGGCGCTGACAAGAAGTGCGGTCATTGGGAGCTCTAAAATAACCGGAGTGCAGATAAGTTTTGAAGAAACCTAGTATGTACGGTATTTACTCAAATCTAACGCACACTTTTTTTCTGGAAAAATAGGTCCTAAAATTGCTTGCACGTTAGAATCGAGTACGCCCCAAAAATGCACTACCATATCGCCATCGACATTTCAATATGGCCGCTCCATTACGCGCTGAGGTATGGTGTAGCCAGCGCTTAGCGTAGTCGTGTGTTTCTTGCGTTCGTATCAGCATGGAAGTTCCCTCTGCAAAGACACGCCGCGTTCACCATGATGCTGGATTCAAAAGAAAAGTGATATTGTGCGCGGAGAGCAATGGAAATCGGGCCGCATCATGTGCATTTAGTGTTCCAGAAACTTGCTTGCGGGACTGGCGCAAGCAAAAAGAAAGGATTTTGGCCTTCAAGTTTCAAAGATGAAATGCTTTGGGCCGTTGACAGCGATAAGGAGTCATCTGACAGCGATGACGAGTGATACATACCGCCCCACGGGCGCTGCCCTGGACCGGCGTTATGATAACGACCTTGCCGGCGAGAGACGGCGCTGTTCATTTCATCGCAAGAATGACGCATTTAGAATAAACCTTCATTGTTCCAAGTGAGAAAAAGTTTAATTTCTGTATCCAACCTACAAAATCTGGTGCGCGTAACATCGAGATCATCGCATATTTTTTTTTTTTTTTGACCTCGAGAAATGGGTGCACGTTACAATCGAGGGCGTGTTAGATTCGAGTAAATACAGTAGTTTGTTGGACATTGAAGCAGAAAGGACCATGATACATTGCAATGCTACAATGTGCTGCTGAGATTGTTTCTCCATTGCTGTAGTGCTTTCTTCTATGCACAGCATGAAGAAACACATTCACTTAGCTGTTTCGTTTCACAGCTGGGGTATCTAACTTTTTTGTAGACGCATGCTATGTACTATCATTATGGAGCTGTTGCAATGTTTCATTTGACTGGCAGCTATGGCCCTGCTTCCGACCTGGCTTACAGCAACATTTGTGTACTGTCCTCCTGATCAGAGCCAGAGGATGTATGGCCTACTTTAACGGCTGAAAGCGTGCTCCTTGACGACTGCGGCGAAATGTCAAAATTTCCAATGCAACTGGAGGGACTCATGGACACTTCTATTGCAGTAAAGGAAGGTAAGCTATGAAGACCCCACCAGTCACGTCTATCTCAACTTCAAAGACATACCTACTGTAGTACTCAGAGTCATCGCCCATCCCTCTGCCACCTGAAATTTATAAAACAAAATTCCGAGGACGCCTAAGCACTTCTTATGAGTTGCGAATGCAAAAGCATTCTTGGCGCCGAGGGTAGCAGAAGCGGCCGCAGCGCCAACAGGGAGTGCGGCTGTGTGCCGCGCAGATCGTCCCGCTGTGTGTTCGGAGACTTGACAACGATGGGGGATTTCGCCTACACGCAGCGCATTCCTATAAGCACCCCGCCACGTCTTCCTATTACATGCTCCCCCACCGCGCAGGCGCTGCAAACCTTGCCAGCTTTACGACGGCTTCCGTGGCGAAGCATTGAGTTGCTGTGCTTTTCTTTGTTTTTTTTATTTCTGAAGCGCGTTTGCTTTGACCTTGAGCGCGCCCACTGGCTTCCACAACAAAACATCTATGTTGCTGTTTTTTTTTTTTTTTTTTTTTTTTTATTTCTGGGGCGCGCTTTTCTTTACCTTGAGCAGCAGCTTGTGACAAAGCATCTGATATGACGTGTTGCAGCCATTTAGTGTAGTTTTTCGCGGTTCCGGGTTTTTGTCTCATTTTCTTGTGCTTACAGACGCCGCCGGCTTCGCTTCATAAAACAGTTAATGTTTGTGCGTTAAAAGTGGGGTTGGTTATGTTTTGGGTGGGTAAGCAAAAATCACTTAGGAAAGGCTAAAAAACGCCCTTTTTTGTACATATCTAGCACGGCTGTATGGGAGATACGTTAAACCCATAACTCCATTTAGTTTCATTGTTTTATACAAAAAAGGCTAATGATAGAGTGTTTAACTATTGCAAAGTCCGTCGCTTGCTTATACGCGATGAACTGCGCTGATTGGCATAGAGTGCGAAAGATTTTTTCATGAAGGCACGTTTCAAAGACCGCTGTGTTGTCTTTAATAGTAAAAGAGAAAAGAAACAAAAGCGAGTCAACAAGCAAATAGAAAAACCAACCAGGCTCAACAAGCAAGCGACCGAGGGGCGGAAGAAGTGACAAAGAGCGGTGCTGAGGAAGCAGGAAAGACGACGATCGCTTGGGCAAATACTTTGGCATTGGGCCAATTTGGGCGCCTTGTCAGTCACGAGTACAAGCTCTTGCACAACTTTCTTGTTTGGGGCACACATGCCTGCGTCTGTGCATGGCGTGCTATCAACACGGGTTGAGGCGGCGTTGCTGCGTGGCGTGGACAGCATCACAAACACTGAGCTCGAAATGGGTCGCTTTACAAATGTCTGTGTGGCGTTCCTGCAAATCTTTATTTACCCCTTGGCTTTGTCTCAAACATGGGCCAACCTTACCAACCACGGTCGGGACGGTCCGGAGAATGATTGGTTATTCGCGGTGACCTTATTTTGGTGGAGACGGACTTTGAGCTTACGTCTTTGACCTTACACTCCACGGTTACATTTCAGGATATGGGGCGTTGGCTGACCTCGTGATCCCTGAACGGGTTACTGCTTGTGGTAGGATGAATATTCGCAGGTCACGGAGTCCGCGTTGGGGTATTTGTGGCACTTTTTTTTTGGAAATCAATATTCGCTTAAAACGTGGGGTGGGCGATGGCTCAGGGATGGGCAATGACTCGGGATATTATGTTAGACATATTTCATAACAGCAGGGGGTTTGAGCAGGGGCATATTTTGGTTCTAGAAAGTATATTTCCTTAGCTACTTGGAAACTGTTGCATAGTCATCACCGGTTACTTCATCCATGTCTTACTCCTGTTTAAAATAATAAGTCCATTTCCTACCACCTAGCTCTTCATGCTTCCAAATAAAACAATATGAATATAAATTTGTCTTTTTTTCAGAGCTCCTATTGTTCTCTATAATTCATATTGTTTAAAAAAAAAACTAAAATGAGCATGAACTCTCATCTTCATTTTGGAGGCATTGTGACCGTGGTTCCTGAATGACTACTGGCACCTATTTATGCACAGTAGTACTTTTACAACAGCAAGCAGCTGTTGTAAAAGTCGATAACACGTTCGTGCTATCGATGCATGCATGCGCAGTATGGCTTCCGAAAACAAAGAAGTATGATTTCACTACTAGAAGATTTCTCGGACTGTGTACATGAGACGCTTGAAAATAATAAGATAGCGTTTGCCTTGTTTGTGGATTTATCTAAAGCATTCGACACACTCGACCACAAAATTCTATTACGCAAACTCGAAAAACACGGATTCAGAGGTCCTTTTAACAGATTTTTTACAAACTACTTTACAGACAGATTTCAAATGGTCAAAATTAGTCATAACACAAGTGAAAAAGTAAGAATCGAATGTGGGGTGCCGCAGGACGGCACCTTAGGCCCCTTGCTTTTTAATATTTATGTAAACGGCCTAGGATCAATACCGTTGCAGTCTAGAATGTTTCAGTCTGCCGACGATACCGTTTTATTATTACCACATTATGACTACGAGCAAGCGGTTCCTCTTTTTCAGAGTGAGATAAACTTAATAATAGATTGGTTCTCAAGTAATGAAATTTCTCTAAATACCAAAAAAACTAAGCTAGTATGTTTCCGTAACCCTCATAAGCGCATTGAACTTAAGACAAACGTATATCTCCACCTTCATGAGCAAGATCAGTCAATCTGCAGATGTAAGCCATTACCATACGAGTCTTCAGTCAAATATTTAGGTATATTCTTTGATGAGCACATACTTTGGAAACAGCAGTTAGAACATATTACTAGAAGGCTCCGTTTAGTATCCTCGTATATACAGTCAAACCCACTTATAACGATCCCACATATAACGACCTATCGGTTATAACGACCAACTTTCAGAAAATATACGAATTCAAGGCCCTACCCATTAAAATTGGTCCAGATAAAACGACCGTTTTTTAAAGCATCGTACTGTTACAACGAACACAAAGTCTGCTTTCAAAAGAGAAAAAAAAAAACGTGCGCAAAAAACAAAAAGAAAAAGCAAGGAAAAAAAAAAAAAGATTTAAAGAGATTCCAGGCGTGGCGGTAACGCGAGACGCTCAAGGTCATTTTCACAGCATCGCGGCAGGGGAGAAAACAAAACTACAAAAGCAAAAACGTCCTCTCGGGTCGCGTAGTCTGCTCATTGTGCGCGCGCGGGAAGGAGAAGAGGACGAGGGTCAACTCTCCTGCCGTGCTGCGTTCGTTTGTTCGCGTTCGTTCTATGCGAACTGTAGGCAGCTCAAGAAGAGCTCAAAGCTCGCTACAAGTTGGCTAGCCCCATCGCCATTGGTTTCAGTTTGTTTACGTTCGCCATATTGCTATCATGCACATTCTCTCGCGTCTACGGACTCGTGCCTCTCGTTTTAAAATGGAAAAAAAAAATGATCCACCAAGAGGCTTTACTTAAACGAAAGGGCATCATGCTGGCGGAAAAAGATGACAATGGAGCAGCACTGCGTGGCTCAGAATCCCAGCCACCCGACGAGCTCGCAAAGTGTTGTTTGAAAGATGACCCTGCCAGAAGCGACGGCCGCGCACTCGTTCATGCGCAAGAAGCACGGCACTTAAAATGTTTTAGACCAAAGCAAGTATTAATTATCTCTGTAGACAGCGAAGAACCATCGTCGGGCTAGTGCTCGGCATTTATTTTTGTGGTGGAGTGCGTTTCATAAAATCTGTTCTGTGAGGTATGTGGTCAATGTTCATTATTTTACTTGTGCAGTAGAATCGGCAGCAATTTACTTTTTATTTATCTGAAACCTAAATCTGCAGTCGCGTTAGAATTGGGGCCCGTCAGAATCTTGCAGACAGTTTCTTTAAATAAAGAGCTGGCAGAGTGAAACTACCAATACCAGCTTCATTTTCCTTATTTATAATGTTTTAAAGGGAAGTCCAGATATAACGAACTACTGATAAAACGACCACTTTTCGCGGAACTACCACGTTCGTTATAAGTGCGTTTGACTGTATACAAACTAAAAAGTGCATGCTGTGTAAAATTACGGCAGTCTATTTTCAGAGCTCTAGGGGAGTCAATCTTACGGTATGGAATAACGATGTACGGGATTGTTCAGGGTACAAAAGAAAGGGAATTGATAGGGTCATAAAGCATATTGCGAATAACGTTTCATATGGTTCAGTCCATGATGGCTTAGAACTGGAAGAAAAAATGAGGGCACTAGGCATACTCTCATTCGATCAATTTCATAAATATGTAGCAATAACAAGTAATTATTATAAAAATGATTTCAAATACGAGGTTAAGAAAAGAAATCTAAGGCGTACAGAGAGATTTATGTTGCCGAAAGTTTTAACAAATTATGGTAAAAAAGAAAGGAAATATTACATCCCTGCATTATTTAACGCGTTGCCTGAAACTTTAAGTAATTTAACATCCATTCGCGCGGTGAAACTAAAAGTCAAAGAATGGTGTCAAACGCTCGCTGCTGTTACCTGTGGATAAAAAGTTGTAATCGTTTGCATAGTGCACAGTTCTTATGTGTAATGATGTATGCAGTGTTTTGTTTTCTGCCTGGACCCACACAAGCATTTCTGCTTTCGTGGGCCAGTACGCTATCTTGTGTAAAATATTTCTTTTCAGTAAATAAATAAATAAAAAATACCATTATTGAGCCGTAAGGCAATGTTTCGGTTTGACTGGTGACTACGGCTCTGCTTCTGACCTGACGTGCAGCAATACATGTGTGCATCTGTGCTGTCTTTTCCAACAGAACCAGGGGACGTACCACCCAGTTCAACAACCGAAAGTGTGCTCCCTGACGATTACGGCACTACGTCCGAATGCCCGCCGCAACTGGAGGAACACAAAGACTGTGCCATTGAAGTCAAGGAAGGTAAGCAATAGAGACTGCAGAGGAGGCGCATGCCCTCTCCCTCTTTTACCCCACCAAATTCGTTGAAATGCCTGTATGTAACAAAAATGGTGCCTCTTTGAGATGGCACCATTAGATCGCTCTATAAACCATTTCATATAGCAAATTTTTGGATCCAAATCCAAAAAGTTTGCTGTATGGGATGGTTTATGGAAGGATCTTAGGGTGAAGGTGTCAAGGTGAAGCATGTTTTACCCCTCTGCTTCCTTGCCTCTTTCACTACCTGCAGCCAGAGCTAGAGGAACGGCTGGCACATGGTAGGATTTTCTTTGCACAGCCTCAGCACATACAAACTGATCACAGGAGCAGCGACGGCAGTATTTGGAGAAAGCCATGAGTGCCATGACCATGAGTGCAGCGCACGATTCAGTGTATCGAATGCAGTGGCTGGTGCAGTTCGATACAGGTGCACAAGGCTTCCTTTACATAGAATTTTCAAAGGGATGTCTTGACTTTTCGAAATAGACAATAATTAGAATTACCCAGTTTCAGTATAATTGGGCTCGACACTACCAGTGTGCCCATACATGTTTTGGTGGTGGGATTCGCTTATGAGACGGTTTTGTATTTGAAGGTTCTAACATTTTGCACTGTAAAGTGTGTTCTAGTAGCTACATGTTCTCTTTTGAAGTTGGTACCACACTTCTAGGAAAAGGTAAATTACCTCTTTCTTGTCTATCCCTTTTAAACAACCGTGGGAATTCAAAGTCAGTTGGAGAATAAATACTGGTGTGTTCTTTAATCCAAGTGGCTTTAGTTCAGTTTTTGTGCATTGCAAATGAAAGTTTTGGTATAAAATTTTTTACCATTGGATGCGTGCAACAAAACAGTGGTCCCTCGGTGCTGCTCCTAGCAGAAGCATTTCGCTTAAACATCGTGCAGCAGCCGACCTTCGTTTCTAATCAATGGCACTACACAAAACGTTTGGAGCTACAGCTGGCTCTCATTTTTTTTAGACAACTTGCAAATTAAAAACATAAATCACCTCCATGCGCTGGCAAAAATGGCCGCAATCACTTGTATACCAACACACCCACTTGATCTGCTAGCGAGTGAAGAGCAATCTCTTAATAACACGAGTGAAAAATGCTTCTCTTGGAGATTTTACCTATTACTGGCACTTGTAAATGTCGTCCTGTAGTGATTTTCGGACCATCAAGCACACAAGCGCTTTGTACCGGCATATTTGTGTAGAGGCAAGGGTAAGAAATGTGGAAGTGTGTTGTTGCTGCCACTTAATACTGCAAGAGACATGATTAAATTCGAGCTCTGCTCAGGTCATGTGGGTCAAAGAACATGAGAGCACGTACAGAGCAACGCTGGATATGATTGTGTTTTTTTTTAATGTCGAGGTGCAAAACCTCTACTGCGACGCGAGATCAACAAAATGCGGCCAGGGAAAGGTGCAGACGCAGCCAAGACGCTGTGGACGCATTAGAAGTCGGTGCAGACGGCACTTCCCTATGCGACAAAACTTGGACATTGGTGCAAACCAGATGACAATTAGGCAGAGCGGTATGCTCCCTTTAGGTGTCGCACACTTCCGACACAGCACTATTCAATTTGAATTAAATTTGAGCTGAAATTTTACTTTTCACAGATCTGTATTAAGCACGGGCCTGGACAAGAAAGGGTAACCAGACATTTAGTTGCTTGCAACAGATGCAAAGAAGCAATGTTTCCTAACCTGATTACAAGAAAAAACTTGAGACAGATGTTGCTGTTGCCAAGGGCATGCCCTCCACACATTATTGACGAGAACTTGTGTGTGGAGTATGTTTAGTGTAGCCCAACCAAACCCCCTAAAACAGTTCAAAATCACAATTTCTCCTTTTAGTTTAACTCTAATAAATAGAGCAAGCAGAGTTGTGCAGACATCAAAGTGCTTGTGACATGTCTGGAACTGTTCTTCCTGCAAGGCCTGTGACTTTTCTTGTTTCTGCTCCAGTATGAGAGCGAAATTTATTCTATGTATCTCTCCAACAGAGCCAGCTGATGTAGAATGGCGTTGCTCCGACTACGAAGAGGGCAGCAGCTCTTCTGCCCAAGAACGGTGGGACCAGGGACAGCAGGAGGAACAAGATGGGCCCAAGAGCAACGACTGCCGCTTCTGCCCTTTCTCCAGTCTTTCCAAAAGTAGAATCACGGTGCACGAAAGGACACACACGGGAGAACGGCCCTTCACCTGCAACCACTGCCAGATTGCATTCACTACCAGGCGGGGCTTGATTGCTCATGCAAGCACTTTTGGAGACAAAGAACACTTTAAATGCTCTGCGTGCTCGCGTGTATTTCTGCAGAAGGATCGCTTGCTTGCTCACGAGAAGATCCACGCGCGTGAAAAGCGTTACAAATGTGACACTTGCGGCAAAAGATTCCAATGGAAAAACGGCTTCAGACGTCACCAGGACGTACACATGAATGCAAATCGCATTAAATGTGCGACATGTTCGCGGACATTTCGGTCGAAGCAGAACTTGAAGATGCACCTCGTCCGCAACATCTGCAGGGAGGTGAATGCTCTTGATAGTACTGATATACTAGATATAAGGCCTTTTCAATGCTCCAAGTGCCCCAAAGCTTTCAAAGAAAAATGCCACTTGGCATCTCATCAAAAGTCTCACATGAGTGAAAGCCTCTTTAAATGTCCCAGATGTCCCAAAGCATTTCAGATTGAGTCTCATATGACTGCTCATAAGATGACAAGGCCTTTTAAGTGCCTCACCTGCCCTAAAGCGTTTCATTCAAAGTGTGGCTTGATAGACCATGAAAGAGTTCACATGACTGAAAGACCCTTTAAATGCCCTGCGTGCCCCAAAGCATTTCGAACAAAGTCTCATTTGACTGGTCATAAGCTAACTCACACAAAAGAAAGGCTCTTCAAATGTGCCTACTGCCCTAAGGCATTTCAAACAAAGTATAATTTGACTGCTCATAAGGTAACTCACACGGATGAAAGGCCCTTTAAATGTCCCATCTGTCCTCAAGGGTTTCGAAGGAAGCGTACCTTGACATATCATAAAATGGTTCACACGGGTGAAAAGCCCTTTCAATGTAATTTTTGCAACAAAGGCTTTCGAAAAAAATGTTATTTGTCTGCTCATGAAAGAATCCATGACAACCGTAAATAAAGAGGTTGGCTGTACAAAGAAAGGTCCAGGAACAGTCGTCAAGAGTCAGGCACACGGATAAGAGGCAAGTTAAATGTGGCATCTTCCCTTGAGCCTCGAGCATTGTGAAGGAAGTGGCGATTCACTTTGTGAGAAGATGGCTTTTGTAGATAGAAAGCAATAAACTCCACCCACGTTAAAAAAAAAAAAATTCTAAAATGGCAGTTAACCGAAATTAAAAAGCTTTCGTTGATGACACCCTTTAAACGTCCCACTTGGCCTAAAAGGTTATGTACAAAGTAAACCTACTGATAATGAAAGGACTTGCATGGGTGAAGTACTCTTCCCTTTCCCTCTCGGAGAGAGAGATTAGCTTCCTGCGAGGGTGGAAAGTCCCCCAGCCCACACGGCACTAGAGCTTAAAGGTTTGGAAAAACAGTGGCAAACAAAAACAACCCCGGAAAGCCACCCTCTGTTCTTATTCTCGTCTTCTGTTCTTGCTTGACCCTCTGGTGCTCTGGTCCGTCCTGCGCCTTCCCCAAGGAATTCCAATGACCCCCCCCCCCCTTCCCCCGCTCTCCGCCGCAACCCCCAACAGCACAAAGCGACGCGAGGTGTCATCCACGAGAGAGGCGACACAGACCAGACCACACCGTGGACCAGAGTTTCGACTGCCCGCTGTGCTCGCCCCGCAACGGTCTCCCTGTGTTTCTTACACCTCCACTCATCCCTCTCCCACCTTTCCCCATCGCCTCCCCAAGTCGAGCTCTGAGCGGCGAGCCGCCCCAGTAAATCTCTAGTTGCAAGTCGAAAGCTGTGTCGTCTGTTTTGTCCTCTTGTGTGTTTCTTTCGTTTTAAGTCAATGCCTCACCTTCTCTAATTCATTTTATAGCCCCTTCTCGTGGCAAATAGCCAACGATCGCCGAGCGGATTCCTGTGTCTTTTCAAGATGCCAACGAAATTCGCTTGTGCCCCTGGTAGATCTGAAGCCAGTGGAGAGCTCACCAGGCGGCTTAAATCAATCCGTCGGAAAGGGGCTGAGCTCATCGAGCGACCTGAAGAAGTTTTCTGCGCTTCATTTTTTTTTCGAGGAGTTCAATCTGTTCCCGCTCGCAATAGTTCAGTTTCGATATTTGCATTTGCGATGTTGGGGCAACCATGAAGGCAGCTGCACCAGTAGTACCTGACAATAGAAGTTATGAAAATAATGCGGTGTTGTTACAAGCTTCAATAAGAGCTGTTCGAAGGTCGGCAAAGTGATACATGGCGGTACCGAGGCGTTGACATTCTGGGCAAATGGACGGAGTTGCGATCAAGATGCGTAAAAAGTCAGTTTTACTTGGGGGCATGCTTATCATTCTGCGGGAAGGATACGTCAATTGGTTGCCTCATAAGCCAAGGCAATAAATATGAGCCGCTCTTGTCCAGCATGGTGTACGCGGGGCTGGTGGTGAGTCTTCGGAGGGCAGCAGGGGTGGTGAGAACAGATGGAACAGTGCCAGCTAGCAGACCAGCTACATCTGCTGCATTGTGTGCCCCAGAGCAGTCAGAAGCTTAGAATCCCAAATCTGCGAGCGCTTGTTATTTGCAAGGGAAAGGGGTGATTAAACAAAGGGCCATTTGAATGCTCATAAAAGATGAATGAAAGGCTCTTCAATGATCATGAAGGACTTTAAGACAATAATGGCCTGTAATTGTGGAACATGTGAGACAGTTTGGAGATAGAGATGGAGCAAGGAGACATTGCTCTTTGGAATATACCATACTAAAAGACAAACAGATATTTTAAATTGTTTTTTTGAATAGTGACAAGCACTTATCATCTTGTCGGGAATGTATTTTATGAGATAAGTCTTATCTCGAAATATGGACTTCAAAACTTAATAAAATGGGTCTGTGCAACTTGTTTTGCTATTAACTCGGAATGAACTATTTACACTGCTATTGTATGGAAGCCATCTCTCCCCTTCCACTCATCCAATCTTCATATATTTTTTTTCGGGTAGGTGAATGTGCAATGTTTGAAGTAAGGGCTATAAACATGGTAAATATGACATCAAGCCTTTTTTTAGATGCCTTCACTTTCTGCAGTAAGTAGTCTTGAAACAGAAATATTTAAGTGTTATACAGAAAAACTTGTATATCGTCATTAAAATGGCAATTTGGGCTAGCTGGTTCGCTATGCACACCGTTATTTGGTGACACAAGAATTTTGGCTAGGTATTCCAATCGGTAATTTAGGGAGCTACACGAGGCATTTGAAATAAAAGAAAAAAGCATAGATTGTATTAATGATGCATATGCGTCATAATCGGCGAAAGAGCGCGTGCTTTTGTGAAAGGATCAGCACCCGATGTAGGAGTGACTGTATTTTACCATGAGTATATGAGATAAGTTTTCAATAAATGTTAGTTGGGAGTGCACCCTGTTTTCGTCCCCTTATTGTCCTTGTGTAGTTTCGGCGCTTTGAACAAGCTATAAATCATCCTAGAGCTTTCACATATACCTTTTTGTGCAGAGCTTTCGATTTACTGATGATATGTTTCGTTTTTGATATCAGTATTTCGTTTTGACTCAATGCTTCCCATAATAATATGCAAGTTCTTTCAATATTAACGAAAGTAATTAGGCTGCATCTACACCAAGTATGATCCTGCATCTACTCCAAGTATGATCCTGCATCTACACCAAGTATTAGGCTGCATTAACACCAGCTACACAAAGTATGATCCTGGGTGGCGTGCACAGCCGTGCACGCCACCCAGGATCAGATTTTTGTATGCAAATAAATATTATTATTATTGTTATTTGTAGTCAGATTGTAAAGAAGATAAGTTATGCAAATTTCGTGTAGATTGTATGAAGTTATTTAATTAAAAAAAGAAAGCTCTAGAAGCAGTGTTGCCCGCTTAATAAAGTATTTGCTCGTAATAAATGTTTTTTTTTTTAAATAAGGTGACAACTGAATCCTCACCTTTAATGACTGTATGATAAAATGCCGCCATTGCTACTTTCACTTCGCTTGCTTTCCTTTTCACATTTCTCTGCTTGGGTTTGCAGAGCTCTGGCAACTCTTGGTGCATTAGAAGGCTGTGACCACAATGCAAGAAACACATTTAGGTTATGCTGCACACGGACCAGAGCTGTGCATAGAGAGAGTTTGGTCAATGGGAGGCGCGGGAGAGCCAGGGTGTGCACCAGATGCAGAAAGAGGGCTTGACATGTTCTCTTGGCCAACCAGAGGCCGAAACGAATCCCCTAGCAGTGGTAGCGAGAAACAATTTTAATCTTAAGTGTATGGTTTTAATAAGTTCGCAAGAGTTAAATGTAGCTACCCTTCATGGCTGAAATTAGGCTGCACATGATGTTTTAATCATGATCATGCAGAAAGATGTAAGAAACAAATGTGCTGCTCAATTCTGTTTTGTTCGGACGGACTGTGACCGCTTGGACGGCAGATTCCCGGCCCTCGGCGCCTGGCGTACCAATCATGTCGATTGTTCCGCTAGTCACACTCTTCCACCATGATTTTGAATGACCGTGATTGAAACATCACTTGCACCATATTTTCAGTCACCGAGAGTTACTCCGACACACTTATTAAGTTTGTTTCTCGCAACCACCGCCAGGGTATTATTTCCGGCTTCTGGTAGGCCACATTCGAATTTGTGAGGACGCCCTGAAACACGCCCAGCCCGCTTTCAGCCAATGGCGCCTCCTGATTTGTCTCCATCCTTCCCAATGAATGGCCAAACTCTCTACATATACGGCTTTGACACGGACCACTGATCTCTATGACAATTCGCTGGGTTACGCTTCCCCGCTCCGCAAATGCGGCCACCGGAAGTTCCAAATCGACCATCTTGGGCCTGTGTAAATCTGCTGGGTGAAGCGTTGTAGAGGCGGGGCAGCTGTTTGCTGAAGGACACATTTTCTCCTCGTTCGCCATCACTCGCTGATGAAATCTGTGAAAACCCTAAGTAAATGGTCGTACCCGCACTTACGAAAGTGCGGCACTGCAGGAAAAAGGTACAACTTAACCCAAATGCGTCTCGCAGTCGGGCAGTGTGATCAAAGGGCATGCCTTGCCACGCTGAAATGCTGCATCAATGTGCCTTTGCACACTTGGATACCGATCAAGAATTGCTGCTGTGTGAATGTGTTAACCCTTTGGGAAAGTTTTTGAAACGGTGTCGCACGTACATGTCTTTGCTGCCTCAATATCGGTTGCGGAATTCTGGATCGTTCTTGTACTCTAGCGAGTTACTCTCCCTGATCAGTAATTGCTGCCAGTAATTAAAAAAGAAATCGGTGGTAATTACCTTGCACTGTCAGCCATTGGCTATGTTTGAAATCTACTTGTACGATTCCAAATACTCGCATCACATAGCAACACGGATAGAACAACACGGTGGAGCAGCGCTGAACGGGAGGTAGTTTTTCGAACGCCACTTAAGTAAACTCTTTTTTGACCCCCGATTGCTGCAAGTGATAATACAGTCTTCACGGTAAAGTATAGCGCTGCTCCAGAGGCACTTTTTGCCCGAACGGTTAACACGGCATTGAGTTTTGATTGGTTACGAGCGTGCGAAGGCAGAAGCGCAGCACTTTGTCGTGTCAAATTGTTACCTTCTATCGCACCACATTACTGCGAGACTTGCATTCTCTGGGTTCTGTTTTTTTCCTGCGGTGCTGCACTTTCATACAAATTTCCTCGGGTTCTCAAGGGCAGCTACAACCGTTCACACAGGGTTTCCAAAAAAACTTTCACCCTCCACTGTGGTAAAGAAGGAAGACCAGTGAAGCTGTACTACGGTGGGATGACTTCAAAAACGAAGCTTAGAGGACGATGTCTAGGACGACCTTGAGCACGACGCCTAGTACGACCTCAGGGACGATGCCTAGGAAGACCTCAAGGACGACGTCTACGACGACCTCAAGGACAGAATCTAAGACGACCTCAAAGACGACTTCTAGGACGACCTCAAGGACGACTTTTAAGACAACCTCGAGGATGACGTCTAGGACAACCTCAGGGAGGACATCAAGGACAACCTCGAGGACGACGTCTAGGACGACCTCAAGAACGACGTTTAGGACGACCTCAAGAACAACTTCTAGGACGACGCATAGAGAAATTTAGCCTTTCCACTCTGGTGAAAGCCAGAGTGGAAAGGCTGGAAAGGTTGCTGCCATCTATGAGCGACGGCAGCAACCAGACAATTGGCAGGCCAGTTGTCTGGTTGCTGCCATCACTCATAGATGGTGGTAGCTGTCCAGAGTTTTGTGTCAGCATTTATTTGGTGACGGACATGAAACTGGGAAAACTGCTCCGCTGTAAAACTTCTTCGGCGAATGACGGCGAACCAGCAGAAAACATGTCTTTCAGCATGCGACCACCCAGCCTCTGCAACACTTCACCTGGCAGATTTACACAGGCTCAAGATGACCGATCCGGAATTTTTGGTGGCGGCACTTGCGCTGCACTGACCAAGTGGGATTGTGCAATCGAAAAGATTTCTTAGAGATTAGTGATGCGAAAAGACTGTGTTCAGATCTAGCCTCGAACCAGGACTGGTTCGTTTTACGCCAACATAGAAGGCACTCCAATGAAGAGGCCAGCTGTGAAATAGAAGAGACCGACATTCGCGAAGAACGAACAGCTTGTTGATGCCGCGAAGGTGAGCAGACCTTTGAGGAAGAAACTCTCCATGCTGTTGTAACGGGGTACAAGTGTCGATGTAATAGGGAAGAAGTGGATAGTGGTACCCTTTGAATTGGGTGCCATCTCTCTGCGTTGAAGAGGAGCGCCATGCATGCCGAACATAATCTGGGTGCTTTATCGTATCGAGTGGCATTGCCTAAATATGTTTCTGGCATTATGGCTGTAACGTGAGTTGGCGACAGGTTAAGAGTTCAGTAGATGCTCAGCCTCGAGCATGATGTTTCTGCCTCTGATAACTTTACTGCAAGCCTGTCAAAGCCCGGCGGAAGGCAACCAGTGTGTGAAAGTGTCGCTAACCTTGCTGTCGTGTTGTGTTGGATAGTGGACGAGAACAAGACTGTGCTCTCTTGAGCCTAGACAAAGAGAATTAATTGTGTATTTCGAGCCTTACCCCCCCCCCCCCCCCTTCCCCTCCTGGACGAGCGTCTCATAGCCTTTTGAACACGCTCTTCTCTTGGTCGCTTAGTGGGCAGTACTTAAAGTTCAATGTCTTTGCAGGCTTCACGATGTGGTCTGGTAAGAGGAGCATGCTGGTAGCTAATGTGGAAGTTGGATTCTGTCTCGCATGTCAAAATCCTCTGATTACGCCGGAGCCGAAAGAATCGGATGGGACCTGTTCAGCCAGACGTCATCACAATCCATTCTTGCTTGGTAGCGGTGCTTTGGGCTTGCAGGTGACTTAACTGTTATACTTGTTCTCCAGTCAATGATCCAGACACGTCGTCTCCCGTGCAGAGGTTTCAACGAACAGAAGAGCGAACATTAGCTCAAGTTGACTGCCTTTGGGTTTGTTTGAACTGCCTCGCTTACGGTAGTCTCTTTACTAGTCCAAAGCACAAAGAGTGACTTCTTGACAAGAATGGTTCGTCGAGATTTCTTACGACACAGACATCAGCCATTGCGAGTTTTTCCCTGTGACGAATTTTTGCTATCAGCACTGTGAATACGTCAATGTGGTTTGACTGGGCCCTGGTATTGCACTTGTGGCTTCAGCCAGAGACAGCATGCTGAGATGCTGGCTGTACATCCTCTGGAATTGCAGTGATGTCTGCTCCTATGCCTATTTTAAACGACATTTGTGATGTCTGGACTGCCATCACAGACTGCGATGAATCTTCCTCCGACGATTTAGGGACTCCTAAAAAGACGGGTTTTCGGGCAGTTACCTCGACCCTATAGAAAGGCTGGCGCTTCGGCTGTGACCCCTCTTGCAGTCATTGATTTGTTGCAAACCTTTGCGAAATGTCCCGTCTTCTTGCACTTGTCACTGGCTGTGTTCTTGGCAGGATGTATGAGGACTGCACCCCTCACAAAGGACAAGTTGCTACCGTGTTCTCTTTGAGGGCCTTCTCGCCACACTCGTTTTGCTGGTGAGAGCTAGTGCCGCAGGTCGATACTCGATTCAGGCCATCATTTCTGTGGAGATCAGCTTGCTGCTTCTTTGCTGTCTTCGAATAACACGCAATTGTCATTGCTCTTTCTAACGTTAGCTTCGCGTCGAGTTCGATCGATCCATTCATAAAACTCCCGTTCTTGGAAACCCACTGCGATGCGGTCCCTCATCATTTTGTCATGTAGGTTTTTGAACTGGCAGTATTCGACCAATACATGAAGATCCCATGATGTCTTCTACTGAATTTGACAACCCCCAAATCATAATAGAGTTTAAAAATGGGCTAGTCGGTGCATAAAAAAAAAAAAAGGACAAGGACATATAGACGAAAAACACAAACTAAAGACGACTGAAAATATGTCTTGCTGTGAATGTTTTTTTTCTTTTTTTTTCCCCCACTTTATTGCTTGTGTATTGAAGAGGAAAAAGGAAAAAGAAAACAAAGTCGTGAGTATTTGCTGTTTTTGTCTCATCTAGCTTGTCCTTGTATTTCTGCAGTTTTTTGTTTTGTTTTTTTCTTTTTTGTAACCTTTGAATGTTTGAATTAAACTTGGCTCTGCCGTAAATTATGTTTAGTTAAACCACACAATGGTATACGTTCTTATATCGTACTGCTGCAGTTGCTTCTCTGTCAGGATTACGACACCATAAGGTGTAGTAATCTAAAGTTTTCTATGGAATGAGAAAAAGTGAGAAATAGGAAACGTGCGTCACGAAACACAATGCAAGATCGGAGCGCGTGCTCCGATCTCGAGCGCGGAGCGAAAGCTTGCCCTGGGAACCTCCTGGGTTCGATCCCCACCGTCCCCGCCCGTTTCGATCTGGATGAGTAATTCCTACCGGCACACGTTCGTTTAATCACTACTTCGAGAGGTTAGTGGTTGTACTGCACTGGCTAAATTTATCATCTACAGCTAAGCAACGGGTTACCCGTTGAGGCGTACCAACATCAAGGCTGTGTGAACATACAAAGCAAGGCAACTTTTTGCTCCGATGTCATTTGCCTTCGTCACCCTCGAGATCGTTTGCCCCTGCTGCACTCTGTACCGGGCGTACCGTACACCCGTAAGCGATATGAAGGTGAACAGCCCTCTTCTTGTTTTTGACGCTCCTACAAGTTTTGGACCAAGCTCTTTTCCAGAAGAGGGCTAGAACGCAAAGTTTAGACCCGAAGCCATGTATCATTTGAGACGTTGAGAGTTAATATAGCTTTAGGGAGCCGCAAAACAGGCAAGAAACCAGGTAAGGTGTTCACCTTCATATTGCCGGCGGGTGTACCTTCGATTTGCTAAACGCGCGCACAGCGCGCTGCTTTTTTATTCTTTGCGTCATAACGAAACCAGAACCACCAGAACAGCGTTGTCTACTTTTACCTCTTTTACCGCTTTTAACGGCCTTAAGAATGTGATTTTGTATGTGACTGGCAAAAACACTGCTGTGCCTGCAACGCGAATTTCCATAAAAAAAACAAAAGCACAATTTTGTTTGTGTGTGTATGTGTGTTGTGGAACAAGAAAAGACGCAGAGCAGATATACGCGGGTGTGACGGGTGGGTCGAAGTTCCTAAAACAAGGCAATCCAATCCATCGGAAGAGAAGGTGGGGAACACAGTGGTGGGGGAGGTGTTGAAGTTTATTGCAGCGTTGGTTTGTTGTGAAGCTTGCGGTGGTCTTTGGCTGGTGTTGTTCGAGGCTCTGGCTCGTCGTTAGCTGCGTGTTCCGGGCCCGTGGTTTCCCCAGTTTCCCTGTACCCCCATTGCACAAAGGTGCCCGCGTGAATGGGCGGAAACAGATCGTCGAGTAGCGCGTTGCTGCCGCGGATCCACACCGTCCTCTGCTTTAGCGGGCAACAGCCGCAGGTGAGAGCGCAGAAAATGAGCCCATCTAGGGTGACCACCCGTCCCGCGACTCGCGGGACTGTCCCGCATTGAGGGCTCATGTCCCACGTCCCGCAAGAAATTCCAAAATCTTCAAAATGTCCCGCATTTCACATTGTCGTAACATTCACTGCGCAAATTATGGCGCTTCCGAACAACGGGCGACGGGGAACCGCGGAGGTCGTTGATAAACGTGTGAATCTCGATGGTATGTCATTTTCTTGCCAAGCACTGCGGGAAGCAATCGTCGTTCTTGCAGGAGACAGACGCACATGCGCCGTTGTGCCTCTCCCATTGAATACGGTTACAGAAGGCAAAAAAACCTGCAACTCAACGGTCAAAAACAACATAAGGTTCTATCTGTTGTGTATTCAAGTTTTCGCGCCCCGGTCCTCACCGAGGAGTCGCGTATATTGAGGTTCCCCTACGTTGTACCAGATGGAACCACGCGTCCGGAGAGCACCGAACCGGGCGCGTGTCAGGTTTCGTTTTCGCGTGCCTCGCGCGCCTGCGGACTCTGCGCCCCCGCGAGACCGCGCGCGTCCCCGCCGAGCGTTGGAGCGACCCTCCACAATGTAATCCCGACCAGCCACACGGGTTGGATATATACTCTAATAAAGTTGCGTTCTTACGTATCAAGGACTCAACAACTGGCGACGAGGCAAGTGATCCCCGGACTCGCCTTCCACGTATGTACGGCGTCAGAGCGTACTACGTCCCGTTTTGCGCGTGAAGCCCTGCGCTGCGCTCTGAAACCAGAACTCTTGGGTGTGGCCACCCTCCATTGTGTTCACCCTCCTTGGACCCGACATGTCTTCCCCGGACGAAGATACTCCGACTGTTGTGATGGCTCCTTCGGCCCCATACCTCGCCCTGGCTGAATTTTCGCCGGATCAGCCAGCCGCTTGGCCCGTGTACCGGGAACGGCTTGAATTTTACTTTCAAGCTCAGAACATCGCAACCGATGACAAGCGGAAAGCCATCCTCTGTAGTGCCTGCGGAGTGGACACCTACACACTCCTTCGCTCCCTGTGTGCCCCCAAGACGCCAATGCAGACACCATACGCTGACATCGTGGCTAAACTGGATACCCACTTCGTCAGCAAGCCCTCTGTCACCTTGGAACGCTTTCGATTCAACAAACGGGATCAGCTCCAAGGAGAGACAGTGCCGGCCTACCTCGCTGCACTTCGGCATCTCGCTCGTCATTGCGAGTTTGAGGACTGGCTTGATCGTCTACTGTGCGACCGACTGGTATGCGGCTTGCGCGACGAGACCCTTCAGCGCCGACTGTTGGCTGAACCAGAGCTCACACTGACCAAGGCTGTTCAGATGGCTCGGGCTGCTGAGGAAGCAGCCGTTAAGACAGAAGAACTTCGTCGCACCAGGTCAGAAGCTCGCCAAGAGCAAAACCAAGTGGCACAGGCGCCGCGGAAGCCCCCCAGTGGTAGTGCTACCACCAACGATCGATCTTCTCATGTCCAGTGCTGGAGATGCACGGGCTCACACGACACCGCAAACTGTTCCTACGCGAGTGTCGTATGCCACTTCTGCGGCAACAAAGGACACCTGCAGAAGGCCTGCCGTAAAAAAGCGGCAAAAGGAAAAAAGAAACCGGGCAAGGCTTCTGAGCGACCACCTGACTCCGAACGGCGGCCCAGAGGCCGTAATCACCAGCTGACAGAAGCAACCGATCCCCCAGATCAGGATGTATACCACGTGACGCCGTCCGTTTGCCACACGGGGCAACCTGTCGAGGAGGTTCCGGTTCTTCAGTCACTGTCGACAGTCAGCTCCGTCACCCCGGCTGTATTCGCAGAGGTTGCGATCAACGGACATGCTTTATCCATGGAGGTAGACTCAGGCTCCGCCTGCACCGTGATCAGCTCAGAGACTTTCCGAGTTCTGGACCTCACGACCACTAATCTTCAACCCTCTCCACTCCAGCTACAATCCTACACCCACGAGCGGCTCGACATCATGGGTACACTGGAGGTTGACGTCACTTACAAGACCCGAGAGGCACGCCTTCCTCTTCTGGTGGTGAAAGGAACCGGCACCAGTCTGCTCGGTCGAGACTGGTTTCCTGCGTTGGGAATCGGCCTCAGTGGCGTGAAGCAACTCTCTGAAGAACGAACCCTTCGGCAGCAACCAGTCAGCGTTGTGGTAGCCGAATTTCCTGAAGTCTTCAAGGAGGGACTGGGAAAAAGCAAAGGACTACCTGTTCGCATCGAGGTCGCCCCTGCGGCTACACCCCGGTTCCTCAAAGCGCGCCAGGTACCTGTTGCTCTACGTCCTCGCGTCGAAGCCGCCATCGACATTCTCGTCGAGCAAGGCGTCTACCAGCCAGTGCGTAATTCACGTTGGTCAACCCCGGTCGTCCCAATCGTGAAGAAAAATGGCAAGATTCGCCTGTGCGGCGACTACAAGTGCACCGTCAACCCTGTGCTCCAATGGGAGACATACTCTTACCTACCACAGAGCAGCTCTTCGCCAACCTCGCAGGTTGCAAGGTGTTCTCGCGCCTTGACCTAGATCAAGCATACCAGCAGCTGACTGTGGACGACGAGACCGCCGACTTGCTAACGGTCAACACGCATCGCGGACTGTTTCGAGTCACCCGCCTTCCATTCGGTGTCGCCACAGCCGTTGCCATCTTCCAGCGATATATGGAGGAACTGCTGGCTGGACTCCCAATGGTGCACGTCTACCTGGACGACATCATCGTCGGAGGCCGAACGGAAGTAGAGCACCACCGCAACCTCCGAGCGGTTTTGAACAGAATCCAGGAAGATGGAGTGCGCTTGAGCAAAGACAAGTGCGCCTTCGGAGTGCCTGAAGTCGTCTTCTTGGGCTATCGCATCGACAGCCAAGGCATTTACCCGACTGAAGAAAAGGTCAAGGCTCTGAAGGAAGCTCCAGCACCCAAGGACAAGCAACAGCTTCAGTCCTTCCTCGGGTTGTTGAACTTTTACAACCGTTTTCTACGTGGAGCAGCGCACACGCTCGAGCCCCTGCACCGTCTCCTCGGCAAAGACTCGCCATGGAGATGGGGACCGGATGAAGACCAGGCGTTTATCAACGCAAAAAAGCTTCTGGAATCGTCAGCGGTGTTGAGACACTACGACGTCCACAAGCCCCTCGTTCTCGCATGTGACGCATCGCCATACGGGCTCGGTTTTGTGCTGAGTCATGAAAATCAGCCTGGCCTGGAAGCTCCAATCGCCTACGGATCCAGGACGATGACTCCGACTGAGCGGAACTACTCCCAAACAGACCGAGAGGCGTTGGCCGTAGTGTCAGGAGTCAAGAAGTTTCACCAGTACCTGTACGGGAGACACTTCAAGATCTACACAGATCACAAACCCTTGCTTGGGCTCCTGCACCACAGCAAACCCATCCCAGCGGTTCTATCGCCACGCCTGCTCCGATGGAATCTGCTCCTGGGACAGTACGACTACGAGCTGGTCTACCGCCCAGGTCGACAGATGGGCAATGCCGACTCCTTCAGTCGGTTGCCTCTGCCGACAAGGGACTTCCAGCCTCCACCCCTGGAGGACGTTCTCCTGCTCGAGGCTGCTCCGGAGAGGCCAGTCGACGCAGAGCGGATTGCTCGACTAACGAAACAGGATCCGAAGCTGTCCCGCGTCCTCCGATGGATCAAGCATGGATGGCCTGACGAGAAGCCATCAGAAGAGTTCCAACCGTACTATGTGCGCCGCGACGAACTCTCCGCATACCGCGACTGCATTCTTTGGGGCAGCCGCGTAGTTGTGCCACCTAGCCTCCGCCCCGAGATCCTGAGAATTCTCCACTCTGCACATCCCGGCATGGTGCGCATGAAAGGGCTCGCCAGAGGCTACGTCTGGTGGCCAGGCCTAGACAAGGGAATCGAAGAGCAGGTCCGCACCTGCGCGACTTGCCAAGTCACAAGGGACTCGCCTCCACAAGCTCCAGTGCATCCCTGGGAATGCAGCTCCGGGCCATGGTCCCGACTGCACGTGGACTTTGCGGGCCCCTTCCAAGGAAAGACCTTCTTTTTGGTCGTGGACTCGTATTCTAAGTGGTTAGAAGTACGAATTACGAAGTCCACGTCAGCAGCGACTGTCGTCCGCGAACTAAGAAGGATGTTCGCCACCCACGGACTGCCTGATGTGGTTGTCTCGGACAACGGCCCTGCCTTTGCGTCAGAGGAGTTCCGCACGTTCCTCGCCCGCAACAACATTCGACAAGCATTGGTGTCTCCCTACCATCCATCTTCGAATGGTCAAGCGGAAAGATTCGTCCAAGACACCAAGAAAGCGCTGAGACGCTTGAGAGGCGCTGACATCGATGTGTGCCTCACACGCTTCCTGTTTGAGCAGCATATCCTGCCAAGCACATCGACAGGAAGAAGCCCAGCAGAGTTGATGATGTCGCGCCAACTCAGGTCGGCTTTGGACAGCGTCCACCCAGACCATCAGCGCTACGTCGAGCAGCGCCAGGAAAAGCACGCACAGAGCAGCAGAACAATGAGAGAATTCTGCCCCGGCGACAGCGTGTTCGCTCGCAGCTTTGCGTTGGGACGTCTACTCTCGCAGTGGACCAGTATCATATCAGGTGAAGCTGCAAGACGGCACGTCTTGGAAACGGCACGTTGACCACATTCGCCGACGAACGTCGGACATGCCGGACATTCCTGATACGCGTGATCGCGCTCCGGATTCTGGTGGCGCGGACCTTGATCCACAAGAGACTCGTGACGACGCCGTGTCGGCTGCAAGGCGCAGCATGCCGGGAACGTCTAGGACCGAATCTGAGGAAACACCTGCCGAAGCCAGATTGACACCGGCCGCTGCACCTGGGTCACCCTCGCCCGCTGCTGCGCGATCCACCGATTCATCTGAGGGCAACAGCACCTCACCGATCGCACTTCGCCGATCAAGTCGGACAACGCGCCATCCCGCCCATTTGAAAGAATTCGTTTAGGGGGGAGGGGTGTT